TCGACAGCTGGTCAAGAGGAATCGGCCGTCGTCTTCTGGTGGAACCGAGCTTCGAATCTCTTCACCCAACGCTTTCACTCGAAATGGAAGTAAGCTCAACAATTATGAAACAAGAGAGTCCTCGAAACCCAACTTTTCTTCGCATATCGACGAACTTTGACCAGAAAGTATCGCTAAGTCTAATTCGGAGTGAGATTGTTATTAATGACTTCAGACTAACTTTTCACTACAGGAGTGAGGCTGAAAGACACGAAAGTTTTGAGCAGACATCTTGAACCCTGCTGCATAGAGTAGACTTTGAGAATGATTGTGTACCAACAATTAATTGTAAGCATTGTGAATCGTTTTGAATACTCCAGCGGAGGAAGAACTCGAAATGGAGCATAACAAAGTTCATGTGATGCTGAGCCTGTGCTCCAAATTTCGTTACTTTCTTTTCTTTCTTGTAGCTCAAGAATGGAGAACTGGCAAATTGTGTCGACAGAGTCAAATCGCTTTTTTGACACAAAGTCAGCATTTCGTCTATAATGCTCGAAGGCTGCCTCAAGACCTTGCTGAGGCGGCCACATCTCGATGTTGCCAAGTGAGCCTCCGGTGGCTGTCAGAAGTTGTCTGAAAGCGCTTTCCGCTTCATTGACCACCAGACAAGACATCGGTCCCGAAAGCCCAGTCGTCAGCAGGCTTTTTGTAGGTGAAGCCTGTTCATATGACTCTCGGGGCTGTCTTCGAAGCGTAACTAAGCCAGAAGAATGCAAGCCCATGCTGTACCGGTCGGCAAGCGGGCTTGTGCACTTCATGTGACTGCACAGCATGTGCCAAGCGAGGGCTCACCATCAACAGGGCGTGGGAAAATGGGTATGTGATAAGACATGCAGGCGTTCTCAGACAAGCTGTAGACGCCTCTGGTGGGAACCGTTCTTGTGGCACGCCTCGGAAGTCCACTTTATGTACGTCATGGGGCTTGCTGCAAGCCCCTGCGTCAGAAACATGTGGGCAAGTGTTCAAGCGAAGAGGCACAACTTGTGTGAAATCGATTTTAGTACCAGGGTACAGGGCTATGATTTGTGCCGTGGGTCAGTCGCGTCTGTGCTCGGGCTAGAGACAGAAATGTGTGCCATTTTTGCGTTGACAACGCCGACCGACAGAGCTCACTCAT